CCTGGTGCAGCGAGCACGTGGAGTAGTAGCGTCTCGAAGAGAATCTCTGAAAAACCAACAGACACTCAAGAAGACACGATACCGTTGACATGTTTTTTTTCCCACGTTCCCCCATAATTTCCTAAGATCGCTCACGGTTGTAGACGGTTCGGTAGCTGTGCTCGTTTCAGGATCAGATGAAAATATGACTTTCATCCCAGCCGCGAGGATTATACAGGGCAAATTGACAATTTTCGAAAAAGATAAGTAGAGAGATTTATGGAAAAAGTGTACTTTAGTACAGGTTACGCTTATACATTTTTTTATATGGATATTCTCTGTTTACCTTAGTTAGATTACGTGTCGGTAATTTTTTTTTCCACAAGTAAACAAAATTTCTGAATGCTGATCACGGTCTAGAGCTCTCACGTTCGATCCACTTGGACGTTATCCGTGAGATTATCTTGATTATTTACCATCGATGTAAAGTGACGTTGAACTTAAATTTTTAAACCACAATCCCAAGAACCGACATCGTCACTGGACCCATGCTCTGGAACTGTTCTCACAAATTGGCACACGACCAGCCAATGCCTTTCATATGGAAACCCGTATACGAAAATGATTGGGGTAGACTCTAGAACGTGGATCCAGGGAGCCGCCTGAACTTGCCGAAGTCTCCAGATGTTTCTAGAACAATTACCGAGCGTACAGCTATCTTAGATATGAGACTTGCAGGTTTTAATGTGTCGCTGAAGATCCCGTTCAGCAGTACCAACGCGAGAGATGTAACGACTAAAGAAGAGCTAAAAAAGGAAGATAAGATCGGAGTCCAGTAATAAGGGAAACACGTCTGGCGCATTGCCACATAACGAGATATTGATGTTGCGCGAGCAAAGCCCAGGATACGGCTCAACGTGAAGATTGTGTACGAAGCCTTAGACTTGTCCTGTACAAGCAACGTGCGAGCCTCTTCAGATCCATCTCTTCATTTCTCCCTGGAGGAAAGTGCAAAGCAAACAGCAGAGAGCGGAGACGGCGGAGGGTGGGCTTCTCTTGGTCCCAGTCCCAAGGGTAGTCAGCGGATTCAGGTACAAGCTCATTTTCCTCATAGCGGACCGAATACAAGGGAGACGAAGACAATGAAAAGTTCATTGCGATTCCCGGCTGCAGTCGCAAGAGCCGTGTGATTAACCAAGTGGAGTTTACAAGCGGAAAGAGCCAAGGCAATTCGTCCTGCCCGTCTTATCTTACGTAACCTTAGCGTCTAGTTTGTATCATCTTTATTCTTCCTAACCTACCTAACCTGGCTATAGTAGCTGCTGCCCTCTACCCTGGATCCTTCTGTACCGTTCTCACAACTGGTCCCACTTGACTCGGCCTAGGTTTTGAGTTGGTCGGGGGGGTTAAAAGGAGGTAGAAGAGGGGATAAGAAGCTCTTACACCAAGAAGGTTTCTCCATGTGATTCTGACTCCCAGAAAGGGTATTGTTAACGTGATCGTTCGGTAGGTAGGTATACCCAGCTGGCCCTTGAACCGGCGGAAAACGCTAGTTTATTTGCTCCCTGGTTGGCTTCCTTCGCGATTCCTCCGATTTAGTTGGTCCAGGCTCGGATCATCATCCTTGGTTTGCCCGGGAAGTTTAATTGACTACGGAATGTCTGCGGCGACGTCGTTGGCGCCGTGGCGGCAGGAGAAGCCGTGGCTCGATTTCGTGTTCGTGTCTAAATCCCGTCGGAGTCTTCTCGTTTAGGGTAGGGTCGACGTTCGCGTATGATTATAAAGTACTGCTATAATAATAATGAGACTGATGATAGTAATAATAGGATCGTAACGAGATCTGCCAACTTCACCCTTTAAAGTATCCCCGGGGTTCCTTTCGGTAGAGGCGGGAATTTCAAATATCCTAATGTGAGTTTTATCGTTATAACTGATACAGATAACGGTGCTTTTTTGGGGTAGATACTACAGTTCGAGAAATTTTGACACTAGAAAATTCCAGAATTTACTTTTATCACGGGATAATGAGAACGTGGATTTGGAAATTTTATTATATTAAAAAAATTTACTTCTATTATTATTCAAGTCTATCTCTGTCGAACGTGACTTCGTTTAATCTATTGCCACCGATTGGGAAAATCTCTTAAAGAGAATTTGCTCGCTGAGCTATATAAATCCTATGAATTTTCCGAATGCGTAATTCCCAAGTCTGTTTCTAGCCGGAGGACTTTAAAGCGAATGTAATGTAATTTCAAGCGAATCCAAAGAAGACGAACGAGGAATATTGATTTGTTGCTTATAAGAATTACACTAAAAAAAAAAGGGGGACGATTTGAGATAGTTTGTATAAGCAAATACAAAATTGTGTTAAAACAAAGTAACGGAATCTGTCGAAAGAATTTTAAGGATCCAATTAATCATTATAAAATCTCACGTCAGCCCTTAAATCCCTTAGTCCACTTACGCTTTCTAAACTCATCCGGCAGTCTGCGAAGGGTCCAAAGGATGACCTTCCTCAGCATACCCTGTCAATCATCCTCTATGCTCGAGGACGACTTCGTTTTTCATCCGACGTCTGCCGTCGCGACGCGTCAGGATCGCGTCGGAGCGGAAGGATACCCAGGAGGGATTCTATACCAAGGAAGGATCCTGGCTGGCTTTTCATGACCCCTGATCCCATTACTCCCACGACACTCTTCAATCCTCTACTGATCCTTCCTTTTCCTCCAGAAGTCTCCTCTGTACGTCCTGGTACTTGGTTTGAATCCGCATCTCGACGCCCACCTGCCTACAGTCTTTAATTTCATGTAAAAGAAAATATTTTATTTCGCACTTGCACCGGACCTCAGCAATCCCTGTTATTAAATTAGCACGTGTCTTCGTCTTTACCCTCCCGTCAGCGAAACGGTCCACGAGGAATTAATAAAGAGCCGAGAATATCGAACCCAGGAAAAAAGCACAATAGATACCGTGCCAGATTGATTGCGGAAGTGACGTCGGTGATGGACGTTGGCCCTGAGGTTGCGATGGATCAGGGGGTGGTCGAAGGTGTCGAAGGTAGCCGCAGCCTCCGGAAAAAGGATCAGAGGAGGCTGGAGCGTCTCTAGAGAAAAGCCAAGAAAGAAGATGAAGGATGTGTTGGTACCGAAGATCCAATGAGATGAGGCGGAACATCACTCATCCTAAGAGATCGCTTCTCGCTTCGAGAAATAAATCAGGGTAAAGAAAATAGTTAGACCCCCCCCCTCTCACCAATCACTAGACTGAATTTTTTTTTTTTTTTAAATGAACCAGCTGATACTCTCTAGGCGTCTACTCCATTCCGGATGCTGGAATCTTGACGACAGGAAATTCTTTCTCCGCAGCCTCTTCCGATCTCCTTCCCCTGTATCTCTGTTACCCTTACAAGCAACAGCGATATTTGTCAACACGAGACTCGGTAAAAATTATGTGGCTGGTTTTCACGAAAAATATTTTTCTTCGTCTTCCGCTTTTACTCGGATGAGCGGACAATTTCGTTTTATCGCGAAAAAAAAAAGGTCGGGGTGTCAAATCCCTTTTTCCTCACTTTATCTCATTTCTCTTCTCTATAGCTTCCTTTCTTTATTTACCACGTATACTAATGCGTATTTTCAAGTAACGTTCCTCGTCGCTCCCGACGCGTCGTCCCACCGCGGACAAATAAGCCGGGTATCCAATTGCCAGCCTTACCTCCGCATACTCTTTCACGTCCGCCGGGGTTCATTTTCTTATAATTCTCTCTTCAGCTTCGTCCAGTTTTCGCTTTCTCTTCTCTCCAGTTTACTCGCTCGACGGGAGCTTGCAAAACGTGACTTCCTACCAATCGACCTATTAAACCAGCACGACCGAGACTCGTAGAGTGTAAAACTGACGTGGACGACAGAATGAACTATTCCCATAGTTAAAAAATATTGCCATCCCTCTCGCTCACGTACTATTCGCCTGCTCGCTCGCTCAGCCGGTAACTAGCTTGCTGGCAAGGAAAAAGCTTTCCGTAAAATCCAGCATGTCCTCTCGAAGAAGCCCCGGCGAGCCCATTGAACGGAGATTAGGTCGGATGAAATTGCCGAAAAAAAAATTCTCTACAAGTTCGGCAAAAAATTTTCGATTTGAAACTTCAAATCGTTTATCGTTGTAAAATACTTTTTTTTCCATTTCTATCCCCCACTCGCTCCCCCTTAATACCGTTTCGTGGGACCCAAACGAATGTAGCGAATGATAATGGAACACAATATATCCGTGTCGCTATTCCTTTCCCCACGGCTGACTCACTCACTCAGTCAGTCACTATTTTCGAAATAATATCCCATGGAAGGTCGAAATCGCTGGGACGAAGAAATAAATTCGAATAAAAGACGTCGTGAACGCAGTCGGGTCAAGGCGACGGGTTGGCGCTGGCTAAAGCTTAGAAGGGCAAATGGCTGAACCTCGCAAAGGGCGCAATAACATAAATATTGTCGAGGTATAAATTTTTTTTGTCTACCTCCTGAGCCCCCGACCTCCACCCCCCGTCAGGTATCGGTCCTTCTACGTCTGTCTCTCTCGCACTCGCTTTCGCCTTCATCCCCCGCTGCTCCTGCTCGGCTCCCCAATTCATCCGGATGTCGACGTCTCTATCGGATCCCCGCCTCTCGTTAGTCCCGCCACCCGTGGAAAACAAGGAAAAAACGACTGTCCGCAAGGGTGATCTTGCTGGGGGGG